ACAAAAGTTTTGTTTACTCATGAAGGCTTATACAATGGTACTGAGCTGTGCACTTTGTTACGAGACACCATGTTAATATAGAATGTTACAGTTCACATGACTTAATAAATTTTTATCTTTAAAAATTTAATTTTCCATTTTCTTGGAAATTAATATTTAAAACAAAAACATAAAAATAAAATAAACAGTAGCTTAATCTTGAATTTGTTTTTTCCATTTTTTTTTTTTTTTGCATATGCAATCAATTTTATGGATAATCAATAGCGATATTTCAATACGTTTTGAGAATTTCAAATTATTTTTATTTAAGCTTTCGAGCTGAACGCTTTAGCAAAAAATAAATTAATAAAAATGATTAAATTTTTAAAGTGTTGAAAAAATAAAAACATCAAAATATTAGTGTCGAGTAAATTACCAAATTTCATAATTGTAGTAATAATTACTTTAAAAAATTTTAAAACTGAAATGTTTTAATCAAGTAACTTTGAAAAACAATATAATTACATTAAAATAAAAACCTTAAGTGAAATTAAATAATTGAAGTACTTAAACAATTCATAAAAATACTTAAATGAATTTTCCTTTTTTTAGTTTTAATAAAAAATTAAATAATTGAAATTTAAAATTTACAAATTTTTGAGTTGCTTATGTTTAGTGTTGTCTAAATTTTTTTTTTGTTTAAATTATTCCACTTTTCAATGATTAATCATTACTGTTATATTAAATTCCATAAAATATGTTTTATGTTTCATAAAATTAATTATGTGGTTCAATTATAATATAGTGAATTATGTCGTTCAGCTTTTTATTAATTTAATTAATGAAGAAATTTGCATAATCTTAACAATTTCTGTTCATCATAAATATTAAAATCAGGTATGTTCATTTATTTACATTACATTACAAAATTATTCTTTATTTTGCGATAATTTATACAAAAAATAAAAATTTATAATTTTCCAAAATTTTCCATGAAATTTAAAATACAATTTATATAATTTATAAGAGTTAAAAACTTTTTTAGCAATTTTCGAAAAATGTTCAAATGCGAAAAAGCACTTTACTGAATAATTTAATTAATATTCCTAGACATAGAGGTTTTCTCAGCAATTTTCGAAAAATTAAACTACTGCTCTTTTTAAGTAAAATATGAGTTTATTATTTCATACGTGTAATTAAGTGCGTTTTTGCTTTGTGGCTAATTAGCGATATTTGTTGAAATTTCAAAAATAATATAATTTTTAATAAAACAGACGATGAAAGAAGAATTATTAATTCAGTGGTATACCTTAGGGTTGGAATCGGTTTTTCTACCTTTAGTTATTCATAACTAAACTTTATAAAAGTGTTTTACAAAATACTTTTACTTATGAAAAATATGTCTTATTTTATAATATGATACATATGTAGGATTAATTAAATTTTTAAATTATGTATTAATTTATTGTATTTAAAGGTGAATATTTTTCTTTACTTTAAATGTAGATAAGTAGGTAACTACTTAAATATTTTTTTTTAAACAGCTTTACATTTACTTTACCAATAAATGTTAAATTTTGATATTATTTTTGTATTTATTTTTACGCTTCTTGATTTTATTAAATATTATTTTATTTAACCAAAAATATTTAATTTAAAAATGAAAAACTTTTAAAGCTATGATTGCCATATTTTTTGCAATTGGATGTTAATATTGAAATTAAGATTATAAATTTAGATTATAAAAGGTATTTCGGAATACATCAGATAATATTTCTGAGGCTTTATCCACAGACGTGGCCTTAATAATCAATAAAACTCTATTATAACATTTAAAACATTCAACTCTAAGACTTGTTGAACAATTTAACTCCAAATTTTGCTGATGCTCCTCCAGTAATTCATTTATTTTATTCAAATTTTAATTTTCTTAAGAAAAATATGGGGGTACAATAACATTTTCATCAAACAAATCAATTTCTAAATCAAATACATATGCCAGCCTTACGAAACTGTGTTGTAATTTTGAATTCAATTTAACAATTGAATGTTTTTTTTGTCTTTAGAGTAACTTGAATGAATTTGTTTAGCATTTTTTCACTCTAAAATTTTATATCCAAAGTGACAAACATTTATAAAATTTTTTGTTGTTTTCATTTTAATTAATATATATATATATTTAAAACCTGTGTTTTTAAAATATATACATATATTTAAAAACGTCAAAAATTTTGCACATCAGCGAAATTATTCACTAAATTTAAATTTAAATTAAATTTTAGCAAATAAAATTATTTTACCGCTTAGTGATCCTGAAGTTATTTTTTATGAACTGCTACTGGATAACGAAAGACTTAAAAAGTAACACTGTGTCTAATTCAAAATTTCGCTCCATATTTTGAAAAATTAACAATTTTTTATTATCAAAAAATCAGTTTTTGTTTTTTTATCTATTTGAGTTATTTTGATCAAAATTTTTAAATACAATAGCCTGAAAATGTCAAAAGTGGCGTATAGGCCAATAAAATTCCTGAAGTAATTCTTAAAAAAAAAATTAAAAACCGTAAAACTTCAAAAATTTTAAAATTTTTTCTGTTCTTTACTTATTTCTGGCATGCAAAAGCGTGCTTACATAGTAATATATATACATACAGTTTATTAAGCAATTAGTTAAAGACACACTACTACATAAGGAAATATCAACAAGTGCGTACTTGTTCACTAAGATCAATTATATTGTTTAGAAATTTCAATTTTTTTTATGTTTTTTATAGAATTTAACATTTCAAAATATAACACTTCATTTTACAAAAAAAAAACAACAAAAAAACAAACTTCGTGTTGAACTAACTTGCAATTATAATGTCTTTGCTGAAACTTAAAAATGCTTAAAGTTTATTAGCTTTGTAGCGATGCAGTTTTAATGTCGCATCGACTAACCACAAAACTTGACGTTTTCCAATTTGATTTTAGTTTTCCGATCATTTGAATAAATTGGATGTAAAAAATTTTCAACTTGTTTAATTTATTTAAGAAAAGTAATAAATTTTATAATTGGAAAACATTAGTTTTTCAAATTCAGATAAATTTATATATTTATTGTAATAAAAAGAAAAAACTAAAGAAACTGACGAAAAAGGATGTGAAATATTTTTGGAAAATGATGACTTGGAATCCACATACATACATACATGTAAGTACATTTGTATAAATATATGTACGTAGCTCCTTTTTAGCACTTTTCCAAAAAAATTTGCTTATTAATTTAAGTCAGTGCTTATTAATTTAAGTCTATCCGTCCGTCCGTGGACACGTTTACAAAACCTCTACACTCTTGAAGATAGAAAGCTGAAATTTTATACGTGCATATATCTTTACTAGAAATTTATTTCGATAGAAAAAAAAATTTTACCTACCTCCCCCCTCCCATTAAAAAATATAATAATTTTTCTAAACTCACACAATTAACCCTTAAAATCGAGCATTATGTTAACCCCTCTTTATATTAATTTTGCATTATTTCAAAGTCTTATCGTCCATCCTAAATAATTCCAATTGTAAAAATAGTTTCGTGTATTAATGAAAATAATTTTAATAGTGTGGTAGGTATGCATAGATTGTTTTTAAAAGCAGTGTTTTCACTTGTCGAAGAGAAAAGTGCTTCAATAGAAACCATTGGTTTGACCCAACTTCTATTTAAATTAGAAAAAAAATTAAAAACTTTTTTAATTTAAGCGTCACTTAAAGTTTGTCCCACAAAAACAATTTCATTTAAACCGGTGATGTCGTAGTTTTAGACTTTTATTGAAAAATTTTTTGAATAATAGCTTCCTGATTGCATCGTCATTTTTTATATGACAATTCTTTCAATAATTTAGGAATTTTTATTTATTTTAGTGTGGATTATATAGAGTAAATTTGTGTATTTTTGTCAACACATCCTGAAAAAATTGCCTTCTTTTGAAAAAACAAGGTACCTACATCTTGCAAAATATACATATAAATAGGGCTTTTTAGAAAATTCAACATTGCGCTAACTTAACTTAGTTAGATAAAAGAAAATTGTAAGCAGTTCAAAAAAAGCTGCAAAAATTTCAGAGCTATCAAAAAACCTTAAATAGTTAAAAAAGTTTGTGCATGTTTTTGCAGTTATTCTTGGTTTTTCAAAATTCTTTGTTGTTCCTTTATGGTACTTAATAGATTAGAAGTATTGAGTTTGAGATGAAATGATAACAAAAATTGCATAAATATATTAAATAATATATTATTTAATTCTTGTATAAAATAATAAAATTATGTAAATATATTTTACATAAATTTTTTTTGAAATATGGCGATTTCAAAAAAATTTCATAATGAACTTGTACCAAAAACAACAACTCATACTTCAATAATTAACAAATGCCCAGTTATATTTTATTTTCTTCTGTTGTCTCTAAAGTCATTTTTCATTTTTTCATCTTCCAACCTCACTGTCAAAGGTAATTTGTTTCTGCTGGGGCTCCTCAATGCAAAAACATGAAAGCAATGTCCATGTGTGGTGTTAACCTCATTATTTTCGGTAGGTTTTCTGATGTCTTGCGGTAGTTACATTTTGGATCTGGCGAATGAAAGCATCCGATCATAATTTAAAATGTCACCTACTCCATTCGACACGCCTAGCCATTCGCTTCGCCGATCATAATTAGAGTTATAAATTAGAAATCAATTTTCGAAAAACATAGGTACATGGTGGATTATACGAATGTTGAAACTTACAAAGTAAGGTCCTTAATTAATTTTTTTTACATCATGTAAGATATTCGTTGTACAGCATGATCAATATTCCTGAAGAAATATGTACGAGCGAGACTTCCAAACGAAAATTCCCAACTCAAATTTCCAAAGCATTGGTAAATCTAGTTCATTTGCCAAAAATTTATTTAAATTATTGAATTTATAATGTATTATTGACATGCAAACACATTGGGCTTTGTAAGTATAATTAAAACAATTGAAATTTTTTTATAAAAAAATAAATTTTATTTTTTTAAGTTGTTTTAACGACATTCCATTTTTTTGACATTATTAAAACAATGTGTTACAATGTCAATAATTTACGAAAATATTCAAATATAATTCAAAACTAACAAAAAATCTTTAATTGAAATAAAATAAGAAAATGAAAAAAGCAGATAAATAATAAAAGAAAAAGTTCCTAGTATTACAATATTTGCGACAAATGACTTTAATATAATATATAATTTATGTTAAATATGATTAAAAACAAGTTTTTTTTTGCTACATATTATTCTTTATAAGTCGATTGACCTAAAAATGGTACTATTATATCAACCATATTTGGATAAACTAAATATTTGTAAACTTCGTCACAAAGCTTATTTTCTATCACATTTGTTACAACACTCCAATCGAATGTATGATCTCCAACAGCTGGCTTAGCTGATATCCATAAACGTGGTGGTCCTCGAAACCTTAAATTGATTAATTTTTGTTTTTTCGTTGATTTATAAAAAAATGCTTTTACTTACGCTAACCAAATCCTATCAGATGGTGGTGGTGGTATATTAAAAACTACTCTAGATACTAAACCTTTTAATTCAACTCTAAGTGTAATTTTTGTGCTCATATTTTCCATAGCACGTTGTATATAAGAAATTTCAGTAGCGGACTGAAATATATTTGAAGCAGTAATACGATCAACTATTCTTAAAAATCTTCTACTACTTCCAGGTGATGGATGAAATGATTGTGATCTAAAAGAAATAATAATAAATTTTTAAAAATTTTATTAAGAGAACATTTTTTTGTTCATATTTACTCTGATACAATATCAAAAGTAGAACCAGATGCTGTAGGACTTTCTGATTCAGAGCTACTTGCCCCACTGCTTTCTGCATTACTATCATAAATAGCTGAATTTAAAATCAAAGAATTTTGGCTGTTATAATCACTATTCCCAATTCGTAATCCTGTTGAACGTTTTTCAATATTATTTATATTGTCAATATTAGATGTTGCTGAAGTTGTTATTGATGTAGAAGGTTGAATAAATTTGTTGTTATCATTAATGGATGTTGTAGTTGTCGTTATAGTTGAAGAATTAGATACACTACTTGTTGAAGAAGCTGCTACAGAATTTGTACCAGTTGTAACAACATTTGTATTTGAAGAAATACTAGTTGGAGTTGTTGAACCAGCACTACAATTATCGCCACTATTAACACCAGAAATATTTGAACTTATCGTACGATCTGGAATATTATTTTTATCGTTTACTATGTACGACGATTTTGTTGTACTTGATGTTGTTGCGGTTGATGTGCTAGTCATATTTACTACTGATGAAGATGATGAATGATGGTGATTTGAATGTTGGCCTGTTGTACTAACTGAACTGTTACCACTTATATTACTACCACCACCTCCACCATGTTGACTGCGTTTCAATCTTAATAAATTTAATTTTGTCGTTATTGTCATATGTATTAATCCTTCATATGTTACATCAGCGTCAATCCACGTGCCACGTTCATCTAATTGTGGCTGTGATATACGGTGTATCAATGGTGGTGTATCACCTAAATTAATATGAGCTATTGACACATCTTCCATAAAGCTAGGTAACTATATGAAAAAAAAAAACAAAAATTTTATATTGTAAACAAAATATTTTAAAATAAATGCATATTTAGTATTCGCTTTGATTAGATTATCAAATATTCAGCCCCATCATGAATTTCATTCTTAGAATTCTACGAATTACGAACTTAGCTACGACGTAGATTTTTGAATGACCACAAATTCCGCTTTGATTAGATTATCAAATATTCAACCCTATCATGAATTTCATTCTTAGAATTCTACGAATTACGAACTGAGCTACGACGTAGATTTTTGAATGACCACATATGAGATTATGAATCAGCAATCATTTTTCAAATTTGAGTTTCAACAACGTAATTTTTTTTTAAACTTTCATAAAATTTTTTTGTATTTAATTTTGCTTAAGTAAATAATTTTCATACAAATACATATTTTTTTTAAAACGGAGTTTTGCAGTTTTTTTAGTTTTTGAATATTTTTAAAAAGTAAAAAAAAAATTTTTTTAACAAATATGAATTTATTCCCCTTAATGGTTGCTGTCCCCTTAATTTACTACGAACGTAATTTCTGATAACTCTATTACGAATATTCGGAGAAGAATTTTGGTAATTCCGAATTGACAATATGAAATTCGTCAACTTGCAAATTTCAGCGCTACAAACGAAATTCATGATAGAACTGATTAATATACCCTTATAGCGCTTAATTTTCTTTGCAAAAAGTCTTGTATTTTTTCCAAAAGAATGCTATCATTTAAACAGCTAAATAGTATTCTTCCAATTAAAACATTTGCCCATACAATACTTCCAGATGGTCCCAAGTATAAGGATTGATTGATACCTTTCCAAAGCTCATCTTCTTGACGTTTCTGTCTTCGGTTCTTAAATTAAATTGTAAAACAAAAGATTTAATTAAATTTTTAATATATTGAGCTAACAATAAAAAAAAGTTTAACGAACAATTTTAAGAATTTTTGAATAAAAAGATATTAATATAAAAAAATCAAAAAATAAAGAACACAAAACCTACTTTTTTAGTAGGACTCTCGCTCGGGATCAAACTAGATTTTGTAACTGGAACTTTATTTTGATTACAAGCTTTCTACATTTAAAACAAAAAATTCTCAATTAAAAAATAACAAAAAATTGGAAAATTATAAAAAAAGATAATTTTTAAATTAATTTTTTCTTTTTTGAATAAAAAAAATTAAAACTTTAAAAAACAATAACATAATTTCATGTTTATGTGTATTCATAATTTTTTCAAATAAAAATTGGTAAAATTTATATTAAAAAATCAAACCTGATATCTGGCCATAAATTTAATGTATTCAGGTGGATTTCGTGCTGCATCAGCGCTTAAAAGAAGCCCTTCAAAAACTGATGCTTCTTCAACAGGAACAGTGTTATCATTACAACTGATGTTTGTTGTTGAGTTGCTTATATTATTACTGGAATTTTGATTAGACGGTAGTTGTTGTTTGTTATCTTTTTCATCTTTATTACTTTTTATTGTTGTATCATTATTTTGATTTGAATTTTCCTATAATAAAATTAAATTTAAGTATTTAGTAATAAAAATAATTAATTTTATAAATTTTACATTTGATAATTCCATTGATGTTGCTTTAAGTGCTTGTGAGACTTCTTCATCTGTTATCATAACAATATCTGGTATTTTTAAATCTTGATCGTGTATAGCTCCTATACTAGCAGAGTAAAATCTTCTATACCAATCTTCTTTTTCACGATCACATCTTGCGAATAACAATACTCTTGTTTCATCACCACATGGTAAAGTTTCTTTCAATGCTATTGGATCTTGTGTATCTTGCAATTTTTGCAGCTAAAATAATTTAGGAAAAGCAATTAACACAAATAATGGAATAAAATTTTTCCTTTTGTGAATTTACATCTGAACTTAATACAGTTGCTCCAAAATCCAGATCATTTGGTTGATTATCACAATTGCTAATATTATTACGTGATTCATCATTGGATTCATTTGAGCTTTGATGTGTTAAACCATGATTATTATTATCAGATAATGCGTTTACAAATTTCATTTTATTTTGTTTCATTAATAAACAATAGTCACGATTAAAATCACCAACTAAATCATTTACATTCTGTTTATTATTAATTAAATCTTCATTATTACTGGTGTCATTTAACTGAAGATTATCAACTGAAGACAAATTTGTTTGATCATCTGATTGAAACGATTTTTGATTCTCATAATTTTTTATTATCAATTGCATTGGGTATTTTCTACTAAAATATCTATAAGAACTTTTTTTAATAAAGAAAAGTTTTATTAAATATTAAATTTACCTTTTTCTAGCTAAACCCCTAGGTAACATTTCAATTCTTGCACCAATTAAATTAAAAGTACGATTGCAAGTAAAAATAATATTTTTTCTATCGATAGGATTTTCATTCCACATTGAACGTTTTGCTATTCTAGTCGAAGTATTTAATATTCTTAATATTGAGCCTAAAAAAAAAGTAATATAGCTTTAAAATATAATTAATTGAATATTGGCGAGTATTAGTGACCGTCTAAACGAATGTATACTGAACGTAACATTGATTGATGAAAGTTGTTAGGATCATAGTTATTAATTTCATTCATCCATCCCTATTAAATTAAAAGAAGCAATGTAAAAACGAAGTAAATAAATAAATAAATCATTTATAAAATTATTTTAGAACTGTATTAAAATTTAAATAAGAAATTATTTTTCAAAAAATAAAATCAAATAAAATAAATTTAATTTCTGTACATTAGGTATCTAACTAATTAAATTGATAAATTAAACATCCTTATACTATTATTTACTAAAATTTTTCTAGTTATTATTCTTACCGAATAAACTTTCAATGATTTATATTCTTCAATTGGTGGAATTTCCAAAATATTCATTTTAGTATAATCTGGTATCCCAAATTTGCAACGTTGGGGACCGATCATATTCAGTTTATTATCATTATTATTATCAAAATTAAAATAATTAACAGTTATAGTTTTAAATTTTTCATTCAATATATACCAAAAATATTCAGAAAATGTATTAAAAAATATTATAATACATAAACATGCAATAATACCACGAAAAAAATCAGCAATCGGTGCCAATATCAATATTATAAATAATACACAAGTTATAAAAAAATTTGAATTTTTTAAAAATTGCAATAATATTATATTAATTAATTCTTTAAAATTCTTTATATCATGTAAATTATTATCATTACTTAATAAATTTATTTTAATATTATTACTAGTAGCTGCACACATATTATCATTTTTATTTGATAATAATGATTTCTTTTTATTCAATATTTGTGTTTCATTATCATTGTTATTATTATTTTGACTATTTATTGTTGATAATAAATTTGGCATTGTTTGTTGATGATATAATGTATTATGGTTTATTTTTTTAAATGTTATTGTGTCAGTTGATAAAGATATTTTTAAACCTTCTTGTTGCGCAATACTACTATTATTATCATCATCACCATCATCATCATCGTTATTTATTGAATTAATATTTGTTGTATTAAAACTATTGTCATTACTAATATTTGGTAAATCCATGCCTTCAAACATTTCAACACCAGATTCAATTTCAAAATCTTTTTTAGTTTTTGTTGGTGTAATTGTTGTTGATGATTTATCTGGTGATTGTTGTTTTTTACTACGTTTACGTAAAAATGTACTACGAATACCACTTCCTAAACTTAAAGAACTTGAGGTTGACGATGTTGTTGATACAATCGGTGTTGTTATTATTGACGTTACAATAGAGTTAATATTTGTTGTTACAGTTTCAATTGTTTGTGATGTCGATGGCAATGTAGATGATGTTAGAGATGGTAATGAGGATGTTGTTATACAATTAATATTAATATCATTAATATTAATATTATTATTGTTATTACTGTTACTATTACTAACACCACCAGATAAATGTGTTTTAGCTTTGGTTTTAAAATTTGCGAATGATTTACGTAATGATGATGATTCAATTAAATCTTCAACAACAGATGATTGTTCATTTTCATCGTCTGTGTCTGTATCCGATTTATTATTACGACGACTAAAATTAAAATATTTATGTTGTGTTTTCAATGACGGTAATGTATATCCGCTTGATATTGTTGTAGTTGTTGCTGTTGGTGTATGTGTTGAAGTTGTGGGTATTGTTATAATATTACTAATAAAATCAATACTTGATCCTGCTGTGGTTATTATATTATCAGAATTAGAATTAATTAACATTATTTCACCACAATCTGAATCATCATTATTAATATTTTCTTTCAGTTGTTGTAGTTGTTGTTGTTGCTGCTGCAATTGTTGTTGTTGTGATTGAGATACTTTTGATGATTTTATATCTTCCATTGCTTGTGAAACCTTAACTTTTATTAATTCCCATGTACCAACAGTAGAACTATTATCATTATTAGTACTATTTGTTAAATTATTTACTGTTGAATTTATTGTTGAAGAAACTGATAGTGTTGATGATAATAAAGATGATGTGGGTATAACATTTTCACTATTATTTTGTATTTGATTAACTGGATGATTTTGTAACGATGAATTTAAAATTGATAAATTTGCTGTTGAACTTGTTGATAACAAACCACTTTTATTACCTTCAATACTTCCAGAACGTTTTCTATTAAAAAATCCACCTTGTAGAATTTCTTTACGCCAATTAAAATCTTCAACCTATCAATTGAATATAAACAAAAAATGTCTAAAATTATCTAGATATTTTAAATCGCACTTTTATTACAAAAATTTTTTTTGATTTAAAATAGATTCCGTAATATTTACTAAAAATTTTAATACATTTTGTGATATAATTAAATACACCCACCTATGAAATTTTTTACATTAAAAAAAAAAATAATTAGAATTCAGAAGAAGGTGCTTTATATTGGAAGAGGAATTGAGAAGGGATGAATGGATGATAAAATGAAATGTTTGTTTGTGAAGGTATAAGCGAAATTTAATTAAAAGCGGAAAAATAAAAGTGTGCAAAATAGGATAATCAATGGCAAAAGAAATTTGTCAAAATAAATAAAGCAAAAAAAAACTTACGTTCTGTAATGGAATATTTGATACTGATTGATTTTGTTGTTGCTGTGACTGCTGTTGTTGTAGTTCATTGGGTATTTTAATAATATCTTCAATTATTTCTTCTCCAGCATTAAATCTCATGCCAATTGTTATACCACAACCGCCACCACTAATATTTGAATTTATTCCTCCGATTGCTGTTGTTACAATTCCACTATTATTTAAATTAATATTACTAGATGATGATGATGAAGATGATGAGGATGATGATGATAATGGTGATTTGTTTCCACCACCACTTCCACTTCCTGCAGATGTTGTTCCTCCTCCTCCTCCTCCTGCTCTATTTATTACTTTTGATAAACGAAATGAATCCATAGTTTTTGTTTACAAAAAATTTTTTTCTTTTTTTATTTTTTTTTTCTTAAAGCACTTTAGGTACCTACTATATTATATAAATTATTTCTCATATATGTATATTATTATTATATAATATATATTTATATACATATGTATATGCTTATAGATATATTTAATTTAAAATAAAATATTTTAACACATTTAATAATACTATTTTGTTGGTTTCACTCTCAAAAAGTGTTCACGAAATTTAAATAAGGTTTTTTTATTTATTCAAAATATTAAAAGAATGTTTTAACAAAAAAAATTGAACACTTTTTAATCCTTTTTAATTAGGTATACAATTTAAAATTTAGACATTTTTGTGTTTTATTTTAATTTTTTTTTTGTTTTTTTATTGAAATTATTTAAAACTTTTCTGGGAGATTGCTATAAATAAAAAAAATGTATATAAATTTCAAGTTGGTAACTACTTATATAAAATCATATGTATGTAGGCAGATACCTACTTGGTTAGAGAAAATAAAAATTGATTTGGAACTTGTTTTCAATCGCAATTTCGTCCAGAACCCAAGAAAAAACTGATCCTAAACTTATCTTCCTCCCTATGTATAATATCGATATCTCCCAAGTTATTAGAAAAATTTTAAATTTATAATAAATAAAATAAAACAACTAACCCCAGTAAATTTTCTACCCATATATGTACATATCTACTTACCTACTTACAGAAATAGTTTACACTCATAATGTTATTTTTACAATATCGTCATCACAAAATGTCAATTTCACAAAACAACAAAATTGCAATTTTTAGACAATTTACAAAAACAAAATTTATAAAAAAAACTACCTTAATATTTACTAGTTTGTTAAATAGTGTTATTAACTATATATGAATTTATGCAGGTACATATGTGCCTTTGGAAAATTTTGAAAATGTTTATAATATGTTATTTGAATTTGGCTTCTTAAATAAATACACGATATTTTGTCCGGTTTGTAAAGATCTTTTGTACTTACATGAATATTGCTATAAAATTTTTGTAGGTATACCTGCATAGATTCGTAATTTGTCCAATGCTAGGACGACGCTATATTTTCATTCTTTATATGATGAAAATTGTATAAAATCATCGAAGGAAATAAGGGAGTGGAATAATCCTTGATTTCCAAAATGCAAAGTAACTTGATTTTCGGTAACACACAGTATTAATACAAAATGTAGTAATAAACACTACATATGTATGTATGTATATAATTTGTGTTATTAATATCGTATGACTATGTAAATGCATTTTATAAGTTAAGAAATAATCTATGTATGTAAATGTGTATGTATTTATATAGGTAACCTTTAATAGTTAAAAAAATAAATAAAGAAATGAGAAAAGTGTAATCTGATTACCGTTCCTAAATACCTATATGTAACTACCCTACACAATTTGATCACCAATAAATTATATTTTTTACATACACACATACACATGTACATAAGTTGCATTTTTCACCCTCCACCAAATATAATTGAAATAATTTCTTTTCTTAGTAATTCACCACTAACTTATCTAATTTTGTTCTTGTTTTTAATCTTTTTATACAAAAATTTTTTTACTTTTTATTTTAATTTTGATTAAATATTTCAAATTTGAAAATGTGTTCAATTTTAATTTCATAACATTTTCAATGTTTTTTATTTTTTTTAATGTTTAACAATAATACAAATTACATTTTTTTCTTAACTTAAAGGTTTCACTAAAAGGTTTTGTTTTTCATACTTCTTTTTCTTTTTGTTTTTATTTGTAACACGTCAGAACATGATAAAAGATTAAAAAAATTCAAATATAATACATGCACATGTATATATTATATATAGGCATATTAATATAGCTTTTATAGATTTATTTTGGAAAATCATATGAATATGAAGTACGATATTAAGTACATATACATATATGTATGTACGTATATATACATTACAAAAATGCCTTTTTGCAATATTTTCAAACAAAAAATAAAATAAACTTTAAAAGAAGGGAACTTTTTTTTTTATTAAAAGTTAAAATTAAATTTAAATTAAAACATTATTTTTATTTTTACTTTATTTCTTGTGTTTATTTTCATTAATTACGCGAGGTATTTCTTTATTTTTTCATGTAATGTACAAACAAAAAACCAAAAACAACAAAAAATAGGAATATAGATAAACATTCATATTTTCGCTATCCCACGAGGGTTGCAAGTCATGTAAAAATTATGGGCCAAATTTTCAAACAAAAAAGGCCAAATTTAAGCAAAATGAGTCAGAATTTATAATGTACTTAATTTCAAAAGGAAAACGCTTTTTTGTATTCTACTTTTACATAACTATAATATATATATATATATATATATTATAGTTATATATATATATATATATATATATATATATATATATATATATATATATACATATATTTTATAGTTATTTGAATATATATATACACATATATTCAAATTACAATAGCAATGATAACATAGCGCGAAAACTTATAAAACATTTTCCAATCAAATTTTATATAAAAAAATCTTGAAAAAGGGAAAAATTAAAGTTTTTTTTCAAGATTAAGAAAATGGGCCAAATACGACCAATTGCGAAAAAATTGGCCGTGGGGTCCAAATTATTTTAAACCAGAAAAAATGAACCATGTTTGGCTATGACTGTATATTTCTAAATTGACAGACATTTTTTTTGTACAGTTGCGTACGTCATTGTAAAGTACTTTCAATATGCTGTTTTGTGATCGATTGCATGTTGAAAAATAAATTCCAAATTAAAAAATACCTTTTAGTGGGAGGTTTTTTAAAAACGTTATTTTGTGATTGATTTCATTTTGTAAAATAAATTGCCAAAACGAGAATTCTAGCGGCGACTTTCAAAACAAAAAATTATTGAAATTAACTTATGTAATTGTTTGTTGTGTTTAAAAATAAATAAGTTTAAAGGTAAAAATTAATTTCAAAAGATAAAAGCGGAGATAAGAAAGATATACCGAATTGAAGCATTTTTTGGTTAGATGTCGTTACGTACGCCGAAATCAAATTTTTTAGAAACTGAAAATTAAAAAGGGACTTTTTTCTTTTAGGCGCAAAATAAATATAAAAACGATAAAACTAAACGTAAAAAACATGTGAATTTTTTGAGAAAAATGTGAACAAATTTGTTAAGTATATATTTGTTACTCGTATAAGTATTTCTAACGAATATATTATTAGTATTTATGTTTGTAATTTCTCAGAAATATACACACACAAATATACACAACGCTTTTTATTAAATTTTTTTTAAGGGAAATTTTTATTTTCCAGTTTTTTAAAGTCAAAATTTCCAATCGAATAAACTGGAAAGTTGAATTTAAAAGAGCTGAAAAGTGGAAAAGTAAAATGTTCACGTTTTTTTGTATGAATTTCTAAGTCTATTCTAGTTTCTAGTAAAAGTATTATACTACATGATATTGTTTTTAATATCTTTTACTAGATGGCAATTTAATATTAGGTTGTTGTCTTAACTTAAATATTTCATATTGAGGTGAATTATATATTATTAAGGTATTGTTGAATTATATCATAATTTAAATGATAATAGCAACGTTATGAAATCTCTTAAGGTAATGAAATGACATGCTAATCATCAAATGCTATCAAAATTTATTAATTATAATATGATTTATTATTATACTAGACCCTCTATATACATAAATGAGTTTGACAAATTTACTTGATTAAAATCAAAGCTCGTTTTTAAGGCTTACAAAATAGGAAATAATTAAAACTTAATCTTTGTTGAAATTACAATTTGATTGAGCAATTTGTATTTTGTTCTTTTTTTAAGTCATTTATGAATGTATTATGAATATGTATATATGTACATATGTATATAAATGATTGAGTTTCAGTTGAGTTTTCTTATAATGAGTTGAGTTTTCTTATTTTCAAATATTAAATTTTGATTTTTAATTATTTGTACATATTCTTTAACTTTCTAATTCACTACTTTTATAAGTCAATGTAGATGAATATATTATATCTTTTTTAAATATTATGCATAAATTTTTGATATGTATATGTACATAATTTTTTTTTTTAATTAATTACAATATATTACAACAAAGCCAGTAGATCTATCTAGTAATTTTGTGTTCTAATTACGCAAGGACATGGGGAGTCGAACCCGTCGGTAACAAGTCCCCAACATTTTGAGCAATGCCATTAAGCCTCCTATTTTAATTTGCTGGGATGAGCAACTCTTGGATCTCGTTATTTGGATGTTGTGTGGCTCTGGCCTTATGGTTTGAGCTTATGGTAAGCTTGAAGTTGTATTTCCTCACGTACAAAGTTAATTTTTGAATCTCGATGAATAATGTTATTCATTACATACCGTGTTGCCCTTACTATATTTCTTAATACCCTATTTTGTAGTATTTGTAGTGCAGAATAATCTGTTTTTTAGTACAACCCCTTAGCTGCAATCCATATTGACGATCGGGTATCAAATTTTTCTGCTCAATTATTGGGGTTAGTTTGCGTAGAATAAGCCGTTTTTGACATAATTGGTAATAAAGAAATCGGCCTGTATAATGTTTTGTCATTTGAATGTTTATCCGGTTTAAGGATCATAATAACTTCGGTGACTTTCCATTGTCTCGGCACATATTTGAGATCAATGATTGCATTCATTATGCAGAACAGTTTTCCTACAGCATCTTCTGGTAGTCTTTTTATAACTTCTTGTGTTATTAGATTGTAACCTGGTGTCTTTTCTAGTTATACATAGCATTTAATTTCGTCTTTTAGCTCTTTCGTGGTAATCTTGGGCACACTGGTGTGATCCGAATTCACTATATGTGGAACATTTTCTTCCCAAATTAATCTTGGTAGCGATTTGAATGCATCCTCTAGATGTTCAGCGAACCGATTAACCTTTTCTTTGCCAAGTCTCACTCACAACTGATTGGTTTTTAAAGGAACGATTGTACGGTAGGTTTCTTTGTATTTTTGATCGCTTTCTACAAAGAGTAATAGTTTTCTTTATCTAACTATTTGAGGGGTAGGTGATCAAGCTGCATTTTGTATATTTTCTACCAGAGTATCTACTTCTTGTGCAATTTCATACCAATTTTTTATTTTAACTGCCTAGTCCATATTATCTCCAAGGAGGCGTGCAAACATTTCCCAGTTAGTTCTACGGTTGACCAATTTTATTAACTGTCAAGATGATGGCGGAGTGACCAGAGAGTAAATTGCCAACATATTGAGTGTGCACAAATTTATCTGAAAGATCTCTCAGGACAAACAGGTTTAACAAGTCTGGAATTCTTCCGATATCTGATGACCTATATAAGTGGGTTTATCAGTAGAGAGAAAGTGGCAGTTGGATTCAGTTCCCGCTTCATACAGGGGTTTACTTTTAGGAGTTGTAAGTTTGGAGCCCTATTATCAGTGTTTTGCATTGATGTCCCCTCAATTTATGAACTTAATTCCAAGACCATTAATTAGTATTCAAGACTCTATATCATTTGGTTATATTCGTCCTTTTTTAGATTATACCTTGGAGTACAATATATGACTGCAACATTAAATGATTTTCCTTTTAGTGAGTGTATTTTAATGGTTGTTACCTGCATAGTTACGAGTTCTATTGCTGGTTCTTCACTGTACCTGCCGAACCACCTTCTGCCTTACAGTTTGGGTGACATTCTTGATAAAAGTAGTAGTCAATTATGTAGCGTTCTCTTAATTGAAAAGGTATTGTTGTCAGCAGTTATTTTGTTTTTAGTTGCATGTGCATACAATTGGAACGGGGAGACTGGCGTTTTATTTATAAAATCTACTGGTTTGAGAGGGGTAATTTGATTACGCCTCTGCGTATTCCTAATAGCGTTTCTTTCTATGGTTTCTAAATAATCAGCGTTATCAATTTGCTTGCGTTCTATGCTATTATGCTTTTTAGACTTAAAAAGTTTAATTCTCCTCTTCTGGAACTCTTTTCCAGTCATCTATAATCTATAAAGCATGGTAATCAACTGTCCGTTGCAGTTGATCTACCACGTACTGGTGGTAGACTTTTAATTCTGTTACAGCTAGGGGTTAGATGATTTTCACCACATCTATTGCATTTTTCTTGCAATATGCCTTGGTGTGATTGAAGCTTTGGCATTATTAACATTGTGGTATGTAACTTGGGGTTTTCCTGATTGGCTCTATTCTTACAATAATGTTAAAATAGCTCTGATATTATAAATACTTGATATTTTCTCTTTGTTATCAAAGGTTAATATAAATAGGGGAAGGCTTCTCTTAATGATCTTTTGCTCACCCTTGTCATTTGTAATTTTTTCCTTCTTGATGATATTCACAGCATTCGTAATTCTTCCTTGTTGCTTAATGTCAACCATTGTATGCTGTCATTTTCCAGTTATTTTCACCAGATTGCTGTAACTTTCTGAATCTTCTGTATTAATCTTCCATACGTTATTTAGGTGAATTTGTGCTTTTTTATTGCCACATTCACGATATTCTGTGGATTTACCATTGCTGGCGTATCACCTGAGGTAATCAATTCTGTAGTTTTGTTCATTGAATAATAAGACTCGTGTAATACTCGACAGGAGCCCTTACATAGTACTATCAGCCGGGTTAGCTGAACCAT